ACTGCTCAGACCAGATTATCGTTTTCAGACAAGATGTAGCACACTTGGTACTGAAACAAAGGAGAACCACTTTCCTTTTATTCTAAGTTTTCTTTTCTGGACGAACCCCCTCCATAAATACATACCAGTACTCACTGCCGAATCCATATTCCCAGAAAGAGATACATGTTCTTCAAACAGCGCCAGCTGCTTGTAATGCTTCTGTGCATCACTGTTTGTAAAAATGCAGGGGGCGGTGGGAGAGAGAGAATCCAGGACTGTGCTCTGGCCACTGCAGCCTGCAGGATGAACTCCCCAGGGGGACACCCTCCCTTTGATGCCAGCAGGAAGAAGGGAAATAGGTCAAGGCAGCAGCCAGAATTTTCGGCTCGGACTGTCCAGCATGAGGGCGTCATTTCCCAGGCAGCAGCAAGGGACAATTTTTGAGACCTCAGAGAGGATAAGGGGTCATTGAGAAATGATCAGCAAACCTCTCTATATCTCTCCCCACCTGGCCCTAGGGAACTGCACCTCCTACAGCCTGGAACTGTGAAGAGGGTTAAATTGTGGTATCGCTCTCTTTTAATATCACCTTATGGTCCCCTCTGAAAAAGCACAGGTTTTCCTAACAGTGACCCCAGTGCTGCGTAGGCAGCAGCTGGTCAGTGAGTGCTGGCCAGCTGGCCTCCTGGCAAGGTGTGAAAAGATCCCAAATGACTGTTTTACCAATACGAAGAGCTCCAAAAGGAAGAGATGGCTTGGGATCCCTAGATCAACGTTTTAGGCAGGGATACTAAGGCGGGAGGGAATCACTTGCCCAGCACCACAAGATAGCTGGAGTGTGAAAACCTAGGAGCTGGCACTTTCCAGCTAGTTATCCACCCATCAGTTAATGCTACCTCTTACCACTGCTTCTGGGAAGATGCTAGCAATAGGCACAGTACCCATCTGGGAAATCACAACAGACCTCCCTGTCCTTGGCAGTGTGGCAGGGAACTGCCTGAACGAGGCAGCTGTATTTGGGGAGGGGAGGGGTACACGGCAAAGGGGGTGTCCCATTTAAAGGAACACAGCACTCAGCTCGTAGTCACAGCTACAGCAACAAACACAATGATCTCATGTTGCGTGGTCCAGAAGCAGCCGGCCTCAAAGGCAGGGGACACAAAAGCAAACGCATTTTTGAGGTTATAACAAGCCACTTAAACCCAACTCTGTACAGCAGAGGTCGGCAAACTTTTTTTTGATAAAGGGACACATAGTAAATATTTTAGGCCACACAGCCTGTCATAACTACCCAACTCTGCTGTTATAGCACTAAAGCAGCCATCCACGGTACACAGAGCAATTAGTGTGGCTGTTTCAGTAAAACTTTATTTAGAAAATCTGGCAGTGAGCTGGATTTGCCTTCCCCTGCTAGACACCAACTAAGTCAGGCTGGAAAGAACTGTTGAGTTTATTGGATTTCCTCTGAGTAAAAGCAAGTAAAGTCTTTGAGAGTTCTGTGGCAGCTTTGGCCTTCAAGGTCACAGAGGGAATCAGGTAAAAGGTAATCAGGCGTCTAATCCGCTGTTCTTCTTGCCTGGGGGGGAAGAACACCAGAACACCTAGGCTAATACCAGAAACAGTCCTCCCAGACTCCCAACTCCTGGAAAGGGACAAAAATCAACGGCTGAGGAGAAGGACCATGAAAAAAGATGGAGAGAAAGAAAAAGTTCAATGAAACATGGCAGAGGAAACACTCAAGAAAATAGAGCTGAGTGACGGCGAGAAATGTCAATGGCTCCACGCTGACTAGCGCCATTGTAAAGCACATTTAAGGAGAGCAGAGCCATCAGGTTTCAAGTTAGTGGGGGGTAGGGATATCTAAAATGTCAAGAAGAGACTTGTCTGGGAGTGCCCAGGCTCCACATGAGGATATGGGATGGAAAGAATACAATTCACTCTTCACTCAAAGTACAGAAAGAGGCAGGCAGCAATTCCTGGGCTGGCTACCCAAAGCAATGTACTTCCGTTTGTAAACGAGGGGTCACTTTCAGGACTAGGTACGTTGGATCCCAGCATTCTGTCCCTTCCCTGGTGACCCACGTGGAGTCCATTACATGGTCTCTCTCCCACTCCATATCCTCCTCAAGTCAGTTTCCCCTTTCTCATGCGGGAGTCCAACGATGGCCAGGCCCTGTGGGACCCACACGGGGCCCAGGAGGTGCTGTGAAATCAAGAAATCTGCGTGCTTCTCCTATCCTGTATGATAACTAAGATTCATAGTAACTGGGAAAAGCATGCAGGGGGTGGAGAAACCTGGCCAAAAATAAGAAGATAAAAAGAAAAATTTTAAGGGGAGGGATAGGACAGGGTCAAGGACAATCTGAGCTAAATCTGATTATCAAGAGACTGGGTGCAAGGCACAAAACTCCTGTTCGACTGTGGCCATCACAGCAGCAGCTCGGCCCCAGGAGAGATTCTGGAGCAGAACGTGGCGCACTGGAGGCTGCCCTGAAGGTAAGCACTACCGTGAGGTGGGAGGCTGTAGACCCGCACTCAGGCATCCACCCAATCACACGACACTTTCTCTTAGGGAAGGACAGCTGCATCCAGGAGTACCAATGCATCAGGTTTTCTAGATCCTTGAGGAGTGAGGGGAAGAGGGCAAAGAGAAGAGATGTGCAGGACAACTTAGGGAATAAATATGAAGGTACTATACAGGTAAAAGTAAATGAATAAACCTGTAACCAAACGAAAACCTCTCTTCGTTCCTACACCATTCAGAAAACAGTTTTCATATATTATATAAAGGAAAATACCCCAAAGAATAGGCTATAACTGGTTCCATTAGTCAAAATTCCAAGTTATCCATAGTTTAGGCCATACTTGTCTTTCCGCTGGTAAAAACCTTTCAAAACAGTCAGCTCAAAAAATCTTATGAGCAGCTAAGAAGATGCAGAAAGGTCTTCTTTATCAAGAGACCCCTCCCCCCGCCAACTTAGGGCTGTCAAAGACTGGGACACTACAACCAAGAAAGATAAATATTAACTTTGGATTAGGCTAAGGATCTGCAAACTCACTCACATGCCTGGGGCATCAAAGAAGACGGAGGAAAATTTTATCTTTTTCAACAGTCAAATATCAGCAAACATACAGATGAAGGTAAGGTCATAATAACCATGAGAGAGTAGAAGAGCTTTGGGCCACTCACTCCTTTTAGTGGTCAGTATTCTCTTTGACCCCCTTGTGCTTTTGGATATCACCAGCGGGCCAGAAACATGATCAGGAAGAAAAGTGGCTGGGGAAACAAGAGTTGAAAAAAAAGGGAAAGAAATTTTAGGAGATGAGAAACAACAGGACGATGACTACGGTGAGGGATGGGAAGTGAAACAAATGCGATTTAGGTAAGTGATGAGGATGTCACTAACGTCGCAGGCAATCCAACGTGGGGATTTCTTTCCTCTACCAAAGCACGACAAACAAAAAACAATCATCTGTTGCTCCTTCCACTGTAATGTCTTTAGGTCATGACCTTGAATGGACTCACCTGCTTTCTCCAACATGAAACTGCTCTGTAGTTCATGATCCAAAGGCCCACAGAGAAGAAAATTCTACAACATTTGCCCCTTCTACCTAATCACTGGGCCACTTCAGAAATTGCAACAGCTACTGACAGACAACTAGAGAGCCTGGATTCTTGAAATACTTCTCTAGCAGGGGGCTATCTAATCAAAAAAAATTCAAGCCACATTGTGCAGTTACAAAATGGGGAAGCAGGGAAGGCGCCTTGCATGGCAATAGAATTCTTCTTCACAAGCATAAATTCAACTTACCAAAAACAAAATAGAGGGCAATGTGAAACTGATGAGACAATGGAGGGGTTGCGGCCCGCCCCGCACTGTACAGATGGCCAGGAGGGCTCATGACACACCCAGGTGGTTGCAGCTGACGTTTGGAAAATGGAATCCATCTCTCTCAAACTAAGAATTCAGAATTTCTTTTACCATATCACTTTCGTTCACAGACGAGAAGGCAAGTGCTAGAGAAATCCAAAGAGGTACAACCAATGGCAGTACTACTGCTTAGTCAGGAGTCAACGTGGTGGTTTTCTTGAGGCCAGGGTAGTCCCTTGTGGGCACCTTGGGCTAGCCTGTTCTCTTGTACCCTGCACACCTGATGTAGTCGCTGGTGCGTCAAATCAAAATGAGATGCTGACGCTTATAAATAGGTATTTGTATCACCTGACATCCCAGAGAAGTCCACATGTCTGATCTCAAGGATCTACAAAGACCCACGAGTGAGATAGCCTCTAGGAGCCCACAATCCTTTTGCTCTGTGAAAATTACGATATTGCATGAAAGCTGGAGGGACCCTATGGATTCCGCTATAAAAGAAAGGACACAGGCAGATCTAAAATCCTAAGCCTGAGCCCAGCACAGTCCCCTGCTGCGCCCACCCAGCAGGATTAGTGACTGGGACAGTCCTGGGAAGATGGATCTGTTGACTATGACTTGATAAAAATTAGCAGGTAGACGGGCACCTTAGCAGATGAGAAGCCTAACTCCTGTCTGTAAGAGCCAGCCCAACAGGCAGAAACAGAAATACAATTAAATTAAGTCAGAAAACCCGCTACAGAAAATGCAATTACTCAAAGATACAAATAAATGTTCAAAGAAAATTGGCCCCTGACAGGGTTAGTCAAGCTTCTAAATCCAGCTGGAGGCAGGCAGCTCAGGCTAATTCGTCAAGCAGGACCGCAGAGCTGTAAGCTCTCTGCATCAGGATCCTGGCTAGGTTGGCCCGGTGATCACCACGCATCCCAGGACACTAATGGTGAGGAACAATTTGGGGGCAGCTGGCCAATGATTCAGGGCTCAAGGAAATAAGATGTGGGAAGACACAGAATGGATCATGGATGTGGAGGCTGAGCACCGGAAAAAGTGACAGACTGATCTCTGACATGGCGGGAAAGCCTCAGTCCGAGTGAGCCCCACTTTCTCACCCCTCTTCATACAAGAAGCAAGTGGAAGATGTCCTACCTCTCGTTGCAGCACCAGTTCCTTGGTGAAAAGCGTTGCTTCTTCACTGAAGGGCTCTCCCTCTTGCACCAAGCCTGGGAGGTTTCGGGCTCCTCTGGGGCATTCGATGCCTGTGTCAGGAGAAAAGGAGAATTTGTGATGAAAAGGTCCCCTGACACTTCTAATGAGGCAGGCACTGGGAGAGAATGCCATCGTGTCTGAGATAAGGTAGAGGTAGTGGTAGCAGGGCAAGAGTTTAGCTCGCCCAGGTGGGAAAACCCAATGCTATCAGAGCAGCAGCAATGCAGAGGGGCCCTCTGTCACAGCATCTGGGAACTGTCAGGAGGATCTGGTAAGTTCCAAGTTAGATGTGCAGGAAACAAACACACACACACACACATACACCCAGGCGTGAGATGAGTCCTCATCTTATGCTCTTCGCTCCTCACTTACATAAATGGCGCACTCACCTAAATTACACTGATATCCATCCGCAGTCATTCTGCGTCCCGAGAGCCATTCCAGCTGACTCCCAGACATTTTCTCTTTACTATCTGACTTTCACATCAAATTCAAAGGTGTTAACTCTGTGTCATTTTCCTCTTCAAATAAGCTTCCCCCTCTGTTCTCCGGTTATATTTTGGACAATAGTACCATCAGTTTTTCATTCAGAATCAGATAGAAAAACAGAATACTGATGAAGTATTAGGTGTCTGAAGCCAGGGAGACTTGGATTCATATCCAAACTCTATCACTTACTACTTTGAATGGTACAGTAAGTAACTTGGTCAAGGTCACAAAGTCTCCGCCGCCCTATTTGTTAAAACTGGAATGATAATGTATCTATTTCACATGGTGGCTGTGTGAACTAGGAGAGATTATATATGTAAAATACTTAGCATAATGCCTGACATATGGAAAGGTTCAATGTATTTTAGCTCTTATTATTTTATCATTATTATCATTATTACTCTCGGCAATTACCCATGCTTAAAATCTCAGTCATCTTTCATTCTACAACTAGCCTGGAAGATCCCTGAGGACAGAATCCCATCTCTCATACCTCTTTGTATCCAGGAACAATATTTTATACAGAATACGTGCTTACTAACCAACTTAGACTGTCTTTTCTTTTTTTCTTTTATCCAATCATTCACTTTGCAAATATATTTATTGCTAACAGTGCTCATCTATGAAAGGCCATGAACTATGTCGTGTTTTGATGTATAAATCAGATTTATAAATAGCAACCCCCAATCATATTGCAGCTGTAATTATGAAGTAAAAAGTTAAACTAGGTTAGAATACAGGAAAACGATCAAATTATGGGGAGGATGCAGTTAGTGCCCATGTCTCTGAATCACTGCTGGTCTTTCCTGCTGCAATAAGGCAGAACGGAAGGTGTAACCTCTTATTTACAAATAGCCTCAGGTGAAGGTAAAAAGAGATTTGGCATGGGAAGGCAAAGTAGGAGGGCATCTAGGCTACTGCAAACACCTGCTGTGGAGCCTTTGGGGGAAAAGGGACCATTGCCGGGACAGAAGGTACATCTCTTATGGATGAAGCCAGGTGGCTGGCTGCTCATGTTTCTGGCCCACAGCACAGATTCAAGGTCACAAAGCTCAGAGGAGAGGGAATGGTTTATACCTTGGGTTTTCAGAGGCTCAAGGAGAGAGCTTTCTCTTCAAGCCTCAAGACCTCACATCAAACGAAATGCGGGACAGGCGGTGCAGCATCAGGAGAGCATCTTGAGCTGGTGTCCAGGACCGTTCTCCCACCCCTGCATACACGGAACAGCTGAAGGCCCTCCCCAAGGGTCACATAGGTAAGAAGATCAGCAGGGCTGCCTCATCCCCGGCGCCTTAGTGCAGGGCTGCACAGGGAAGTGAAACTTATTTTTGTATGACGGCAATAAACTCAAAGAGCCAAAGAGCCTGAGGTTAACCTTGAAGGGAGAGATGGGGCTGGAGTAAACTGGAACGAAAGATAGCCCATGGTTTTTATGGTATCAACAGCCAAAAACACTTTTAATTTTATATCTGCAAACTAAGTAATAATAGAATTGTCAGAGAGAAAAATAAACAATTCTATTGAACTTTTGGGCCACATGACCAGAGATAAAGCATTACTGCAGAAACAGGAAGAATG